CTCTCCACCTGTCTCTCTCTCTACCTGTCTCTCTCTCCACCTGTCTTTCTCTCTACCTGTCTCTCTCTCACTTGTCCCTATCTCTCTACCTGTCTCTCCCTCCACCTGTCTTTCTCTCACCTGTCTTTCTCTCACCTGTCTCTCTCTACCTGTCTCTCCCTCGACCTGTCTCTCCCTCCACCTGTCTTTCTCTCACCTGTCTCTCCCTCCACCTGTCTCTCCCTCCACCTGTCTTTCTCTCACCTGTCTCTCCCTCCACCTGTCTTTCTCTCACCTGTCTCTCCCTCCACCTGTCTTTCTCTCACCTGTCTCTCCCTCCACCTGTCTCTCCCCTCACCTGTCTTTCTCTCACCTGTCTCTCTCTCACCTGTCTCTCTCTCCACCTGTCTCTCTCTACCTGTCTCTCCCTCCACCTGTCTTTCTCTCCACCTGTCCCTCTCTCACCTGTCTCTCCCTCCACCTGTCTCTCCCTCCACCTGTCTCTCCCTCCACCTGTCTTTCTCTCACCTGTCTCTCTCTCACCTGTCTCTCCCTCCACCTGTCTCTCCCTCCACCTGTCTCTCCCTCCACCTGTCTTTCTCTCACCTGTCTCTCTCTCACCTGTCTCTCTCTCTCACCTGTCTCTTCTCACCTGTCTCTCTCTCACCTGTCTCTCTCTCACCTGTCTCTCTCTCTCACCTGTCTCTTCTCACCTGTCTCTCTCTCACCTGTCTCTCTCTCACCTGTCTCTCCCTCCACCTGTCTCTCCCTCCACCTGTCTCTCCCTCCACCTGTCTCTCCCTCCACCTGTCTTTCTCTCACCTGTCTCTCTCTACCTGTCTCTCCCTCCACCTGTCTCTCCCTCCACCTGTCTTTCTCTCACCTGTCTCTCCCTCCACCTGTCTTTCTCTCACCTGTCTCTCCCTCCACCTGTCTTTCTCTCACCTGTCTCTCCCTCCACCTGTCTCTCCCTCCACCTGTCTTTCTCTCACCTGTCTCTCCCTCCACCTGTCTCTCCCTTCACCTGTCTTTCTCTCACCTGTCTCTCTCTCACCTGTCTCTCTCTCCACCTGTCTCTCTCTACCTGTCTCTCCCTCCACCTGTCTTTCTCTCCACCTGTCCCTCTCTCACCTGTCTCTCCCTCCACCTGTCTCTCCCTCCACCTGTCTCTCCCTCCACCTGTCTTTCTCTCACCTGTCTCTCTCTCACCTGTCTCTCCCTCCACCTGTCTCTCCCTCCACCTGTCTCTCCCTCCACCTGTCTTTCTCTCACCTGTCTCTCTCTCACCTGTCTCTCTCTCTCACCTGTCTCTTCTCACCTGTCTCTCTCTCACCTGTCTCTCTCTCACCTGTCTCTCTCTCTCACCTGTCTCTTCTCACCTGTCTCTCTCTCACCTGTCTCTCTCTCACCTGTCTCTCCCTCCACCTGTCTCTCCCTCCACCTGTCTCTCCCTCCACCTGTCTTTCTCTCACCTGTCTCTCTCTACCTGTCTCTCCCTCCACCTGTCTCTCCCTCCACCTGTCTTTCTCTCACCTGTCTCTCCCTCCACCTGTCTCTCCCTCCACCTGTCTTTCTCTCACCTGTCTCTCCCTCCACCTGTCTTTCTCTCACCTGTCTCTCCCTCCACCTGTCTCTCCCTCCACCTGTCTTTCTCTCACCTGTCTCTCCCTCCACCTGTCTCTCCCTTCACCTGTCTTTCTCTCACCTGTCTCTCTCTCACCTGTCTCTCTCTCCACCTGTCTCTCTCTACCTGTCTCTCCCTCCACCTGTCTTTCTCTCCACCTGTCCCTCTCTCACCTGTCTCTCCCTCCACCTGTCTCTCCCTCCACCTGTCTTTCTCTCACCTGTCTCTCTCTCACCTGTCTCTCCCTCCACCTGTCTCTCCCTCCACCTGTCTCTCCCTCCACCTGTCTCTCCCTCCACCTGTCTCTCTCTCACCTGTCTCTCTCTCACCTGTCTCTCTCTCACCTGTCTCTCTCTCTCACCTGTCTCTCTCTCACCTGTCTCTCTCTCACCTGTCTCTCCCTCCACCTGTCTCTCCCTCCACCTGTCTTTCTCTCACCTGTCTCTCCCTCACCTGTCTCGCTCTCCACCTGTCTTTCTCTCTACCTGTCCCTCTCTCACCTGTCTCTCTCTACCTGTCCCTCTCTCACCTGTCTCTCTCCACCTGTCCCTCTCTCACCTGTCTCTCTCTCCACCTGTCCCTCTCTCACCTGTCTCTCTCTCCACCTGTCTTTCTCTCTACCTGTCTCTCTCACCTGTCCCTCTCTCACCTGTCCCTCCCTCCACCTGTCTTTCTCTCTACCTGTCCCTCTCTCACCTGTATCTCTCTCACCTGTCCCTCTCTCACCTGTCCCTCTCTCACCTGTCCCTCTCTCCACCTGTCCCTCTCTCCACCTGTCCCTCTCTCACCTGTATCTCTCTCACCTGTCCCTCTCTCACCTGTCTCTCTCTCGACCCGTGCAGCTGTATCCAGGCGGAGGTTCTGTGGTGAAGCTGATGGAGACTCTCTCTGATTGGCTAGTCAGTCTGCCGCTTCCTCGAATTCCCTATCGGGCCGTTTTGGACCTGGTGGACAACAAGATGAGGGTAGGACACGCACACGCACACACACGCACACACACGCACACACACGCACTCTTATGTAGTGCAGATCTGATGTCATGAGATAATGTCCTCACATTCTAGGTATACAGTTGGTGGTTGGTCCTCACAAAGATAGATGTACAAGAGTGTACACACACACGAAGCAGCAGCTAACTTCCTGTTTCCTGTCCAGATCTCAGGTGTGTTTTTGGGGGCGGAGCTTCGCTGGGTTGGTTGCCAGGGCAGCAAGGCGGGGCTTCGGGGTTACCCATGCGCCCTCTGGACCCTGTTCCACGTGCTGACCGTTCAGCATGAGGCCACGCCCACTGCGCTGGACAACACAGGTACACTCACTCACTTGATCACTCACTTGATCACTCACTTGATCACTCACTTGATCACTCACTTGATCACTCACTTGATCACTCACTTGATCACTCACTCGATCACTCACTCACTCAGGCCCAATCCCAAACCACTCCCTCGACCCTACCCCTCCGTGACGAAGTGAACTCCGTCTGTAGCCACACTCGCAGCTCAACGAGGCTCCCTCCTGTCAGATGGAGGGAGTAAATACAGCGTCAAGCTTTGGGACGGCCTCCCCTCTCTCCGGCAGAAACAGGAAAGGCCGTAACTGTAACAACGGTTTCAAATCAGCATCTTTTTGACAAAAAATGTAAATTAATAACTCAAATAAAACTCCAAACATCTTTCATTGTGTTACTTTTCTGTAAAGCTCTTTTAGTTTTAAACCTGATGTTTATAAGCTTCTTAGTTTTTGCAACAGTCTGTAAATATACACAACTTTATAATAAAATGCACACATTCACCTTTTTCTAGACTAACCACAGGTACGATCCTAACTTAAAAACATGAGGTTATCATGAGGTTGTTAACATTGCAATTTATCACTGGATGTTTGCTAGAGCTGTTTGTAAACAGCGTGTTTCCTGACGGACACACGCGGCGTGTTTCCTGACGGACACACGGCGTGTTTCCTGACGGACACACGGCGTGTTTCCTGACGGACACACGCGGCGTGTTTCCTGACGGACACACGGCGTGTTTCCTGACGGACACACGGCGTGTTTCCTGACGGACACGCGGCGTGTTTCCTGACGGACACGCGGCGTGTTTCCTGACGGACACACTCGCACTCGCTCACTCACTCACTCGCTCACTCGCACACTCGCTCACACACTCACTCGCTCACTCGCAGACGAGGTTTAGCACAGTCGTTGGTTTTATCCCTTTTTTAGAATATATGATGAGTTGTATGTGTTCCCCCCCCCCCCCCCCCCCTGCTGCAGGTCTGCAGGGCGAGGCTGCGGTGCTGCAGGTGATGCGGCGCTACATCACCACGTTCTTCGGCTGCGAGGCGTGCGGACGCCACTTTGAGCAGGCGGCGGCAGAGAGTCTGCAGACGGTGAAGAGCAGCGAGCAGCAGGTGCTCTGGCTCTGGGAGCAGCACAACAGGGTCAACAGCAGAGTGGCTGGTACACACACACTCACACCACACACACACACACACACACACACACACACACACTCACACCAAACACACACACACCACACACACCACACACACACACACACTCACACCACACACACACACACACACACACACACACACACACACACACCACACACACAGAGACATATAGACACACACACACACACACACACACACCACACACACACACTCACACCACACACACACACACACACACACACACACACACAGAGACACATAGACACACACACACACACTTGCATACACACTCACACGCAGGGCCGTTTCTCCCTCTAGGCGGACTATGCAGATGCATAGGGCCCCCGCGGCCACTAGGGGGCCTCAAAACTGAACTTTTTTATATTTTTTTTTATTCTACTTATTCATCCAAAAAACACAACAAGTATAATTCATACACACAAAGATGAACAACATTTGTAGAAGCGGGAGGGCTGAAGCATAGCTTATGGAAAGTAGCCCTCCCGTGCATCATTCAATACAACATTGGCATTATTGCGTCAAAAACGTATAGAAATTAAAGTGGACCTATCATGCTATATTATAATAATATAGTGTAGGACCATACGTATATCAGGCATATTTATACTTTTTCTTTTTCAAAATACCAAACAGATCATGCATTTTAGCCATGCCTCATTTCGTTCAATTTGACAATTTCTAGCTCTGTTTTAGCAAGGGCTGATTCAGTGAGAACAGCACCATCTACTGGCCTGGCATATGTACTACAGCGTCTCCAGCGCTTTCGAACGGCAATGTCCGTGGCTGTCTCCTCCTGATTGGTGGAGTTGGCCCAATAGCCGTAGCGCCACCGTCCTGACGTCAGGACAGTGTTCAAATCTGGATCAGTTTTTATCAGATCCGTTGCAGCCCCTTTTTTAGAGATTTGGGTATGGAGGAAAATAGAGAGGGTTGTGTTTTCTGACACTTGGTGAGTTCCCTGGAACACCGGGGACACATGTTCATGTAGAAAAGACGTACAAAAGTGCATCTTGCATGATAGGTCCCCTTTAAGGAGTACAAAGAAATAAAGAAAACTAGATATAGGGTCATTTTCTGCACATGTCAATATCAGTTTCAACTATCTTTTTTTGGAAATGAAAATACTATATATACATATATACATATATACACATGTACACATGTACTTGGCAAATGAATAATAATATATGCATATAAACATTGTGAACTTTTTTCAAGTGACTTTTTTTCCATTCATATGTTCACACACACACAAAATATACATAAGCACCATATAAGTGTATAAGTACACAAATGCACTCGTATACACCAATACAAATATTGCAAGGCAATTTCCAGCTGAAATAAATATTCAACCCCATAACGATGAAAATAAATAAGAAGGAACAAATAAATAAAAAGCAATGTAAACCATATAAATAAACAAGCTGAGAAGTTATTATTTCTAAATAAATAAAAATACTGATTCTGGGAATAACCAATATTTGTTAGCTGGAGTAATCTGCAAATGTCCTTTTTTTAAATGTAGTTTTGTTGAGTGATACTTGAAAGGTCTGCGTGAAGTCCAGACCACGCTCTAACTGGTTAAGGACCAGCTGTGATTGGATGGTTGTTCTTCAGGGCTTGCTAACCAACCAGTTAGGATGCCTCGCTGGGTATGTCCTGACTGGTTTGGAACTGCTTTTGAATGTTAGTAGGCATTTTGTTATGGGTGCATAATCAGTACTGTTTTAAGCTTTACTATGTCAACACATTTGAATAGATTGAGTTGTTTAAATATGAGAGTTGTGTGTTCATATTTACCAACACCCCAGACTATTCGTAATACCTTTTTTTGGGATGTTATTATTTTTTGTAGATTTGTTGAGTACGTGTTTCCCCATGTTTCGGAGCAGTAGTAAAGGTAGAAATAGACTGTTATGAGTTCTGAGTATTCTTTCCTCAGGAATGTTCTGAGTATGGAACAAAATACCTATTGTTTTTGACAGTTTAGTTTGTACATAATTGATATGGTGCTTCCAGTTTTTCGTCAACAAGCAGTCCTTAAAATGTACATGCACCAACTTTTCTATCTCAGTATTGCAAATCCGTATAATGCAGTTTCTACTCTCAGACTGTCAGTGTCGAGCCTGAGACCTGAACAACAGGCTCAGGGGTTAAGAGATCATTTAGTAACTGCAAACCAGTTACAAAGTGTTTCTAATTCTGCATTCACAATTTTAAAGAGGTCGCCAAGATTATGTTGGGAGCAGAGAAAACAGGTTCAGGTTCAGCCTCAATATATTTGGGGAGAATTCAAATGAGCCGTCTTTATTTGTAGACAGCCGAGCCCCCCCCCCCCCCCCCCCCCCCCTCCTGTGTGTTCGCTGAAGCATTATATGCTTAAAATCAAATGTAGGATATAAACACAACTAAACTGCAATGATAGCAAAACTGTGGTTTTTGGGGAAATAAAGCCCAAATCATGGCTGGGCTGTCAGCCAATGAGTGACGTCTGAGGAAGATGAAGAAATGCTGCATCTCTTGCATGTATTGACGTAGAGGAGCCTAGTTTACCTTTTTAATATCATTTTTTGTAAGTTTCAATTGCTTGGTTTTCGTGAAATTAGCCTGTTTTCCTCTTAAAGCGTAACAGACTGATGCGTCTCCACAGATCATCCTAAAGGCTTCGGAATCTTACAGTTAAAAAACTGTAAAAACTCGGGCCCCCAAACAGCACCCTGTGCGGCTTCCACACCTTTCTGGCTCCTAGAGCTTTTCTGGTTCAGCTCCAGTTTCCCTTTTCAGCTCCCGCTCTGTTCACACCGCCCAGAGCTGCCGCTGCTGCGTCATGACGTCACCGTTTACATCGCTGATTTTCTCCCCAACAACGCTCACAACAACAACAACAACGGGGGGGGGGGACTGCGTCGGGTCGATGATCGTGTTGCTTTTAATCATACGAAGCCAGATTACATTAAATAAGGACTTCTCGAAGCTTATACTTTTCTCCAGAGTGCCGTGGTTCATTGTTTATTAATGTGTTTCATTTAGCGACCGCTGCAGTGCTGGCTGCTCTTCCACGAGTGTATTCTCCCGTTAGCTCCGGGTTAGCTCACACGGCTCTAAAGTATTCACTGTCTGACTGTCACACAAGCAGCTGATACACATCCCCAGTTCCCCTTAAGTGAATGTGTGTCAGTCTGAATTGACGCTGTTTGGCATCACAACGCTGTTATGAAAGTTTCTCTGGTATAACATGGGTGATGTTAGCATAGCAACCGAAGCTAAACGGACTACTTGCTAAGCCGTTTTCTACAGGCACTTTTTACCGGCGTATTTTTCATTATGATTCTACTTGTGATAGTCGGACATGACAACCTGTGCAGCCCATGTATTGATTCCATCCGATAGCTGCTATAATAACAAACGTCTGCCTGCTCTCCACAATGATCAATAACAGCGAACGGATGGTCAAAGTAAGGTACAAATAAACAGAATCACACGAAGCCTGGTTAGTGTTGCCTGACTTTATAAAGCGTGTTTTTTTATAAAGTGTGTGGTTGCCTTCTCGTCACTTTGCTCAGCGCTACTGCTTGTAGGCAGGCATGACGAGACTCTTCAGTCGACCCATGTTCAGGGGAGGTGGGTTTAGTTTCCTGCACGCCTCGACGTAAGAGAGACGTAAGCGACGCCGCCTCTTAGCTCCGAAGCTCTTGCCTCTAGACCGACAATATTTTGGAGCTGGAAGTGAACCGGATTCTGGAGCTAAGAGGCGGCGCCTCTGCGGTGTGAAGAGGAAAAAAAAGGGGCATTAGTAGGGCCCCCAAAAAGCTAGAAACGGCCCTGCGCGCGCGCGCGCGCGCACACACACACACACACACACACACACACACACACACACACACACACACACACACACACACACACACACACACACACACACACACACACACACACACACACACACACACACACACACACACACACACACACACAGAAACTCCCTTTCAGTCTTCTTAAGGCCCTGACACACCAGGCAGTCACCAGAGAACACGCCGACATCCAACACCGACAGATCCATCGACGAGTTCTCCTGCGTCTAGGCCGTGTGTCGCACTGAAATACACCGCTTTACTACAGCCGAGCACGTACGAACTGCGCATGCGTGAGTGGCAATAAGTGCCCTTACCAGCAGGCGGTGGTAGTGTGTATTCGTCATTCAAAATAGGCAACAACCGGAAGAAAGAGAAGAAGAACAGACTGTGATATAAACAAACAGCAAATAGCGGGTGTGTTCCATTTTCAGTCTCGTCCATTGAAAACATGTATCGTGCGGCACTGGGGATATCAGCCATTGGAGTGTTGCTTGTGCAACACATTATCAAGAAACAGTATCTCAAGAGGCAGAAGCGACGAATTACGAGAAACCGCACTAAATGGGTGAAATCGTGGATACTGCAGCGAGAGGCTCATGAGGCATTTCCCCTGAAAGAGTACCTCATGAAGCCCTATCCGAACCGCAGGCTAGCTGTAAAGGAACGCATCTTCAACTACAGGCTGTCGCGGGCTCGGAGGGTGGTAGAAAATGCCTTTGGCATCCTAGCCAACCGTTTTCGGGTCTTCCTAACCACCATAAACATTCAAGACACAGCCACAGTGGAGGCCATTGTTTTGGCTGGCTGTGCTCTGCACAACTTCCTGCGCACAGAGAGCTGTAGCGCATACATGGCGGGAGTTGTTGACCAGGAAGGACCCGATCATGAAACTGTCCCAGGAAGCTGGAGACAAGACCCTGACCTACGGCAAGCCACCCTGCCACCCACCACCAATAACTCAGCTCGAGCCAAGCAGCACAGGGATGAACTATGCCAATATTTTAACGGTATTGGTGCAGTGCCTTTTCAGTGGGATAAGATATAGTACCATCTTTTTCTCTCATGGTGGTTTGGCTCATAAAGGGTTCTGTTGTGATATTATCCTCCAGCTTTGTGAAAGTCTATTCTTTGAAAGCAGATTTGGGTTCTCTGTTGATAGTAGCTCATTCTGATGTTGTGTGTGTCTGAAGGTACAAAATACATTTTTGCATTGCCTATCCTGCTATTTGTGTTTATTCTTTTAATCACACAGCGATAAGAAACAATAACTATGTGCCTACAGAACTGTCAGTTGCAGCCCTAGCATTAGTATTGGTTATAGTAACAGCGACAACATTAAAATACTTCTAGGCAGATTGAGGAGGAGAATGGGAGAATGAACAGAGAGGCAGAGACATCCATCTGAATAATAATAATAACTGTATTTGTATATCACCTTTCATACAGGGGATTGCAGTTTAAAGTGCTTCACATCAGTAACAAATAAGACATAAAATCTGTGTAAAACAGAAATGTGTGTGCCATTAGTTCGGGGTGTGGTCAAGTGTGAGAGGCACGTTGTAGAAACATTGTGATGGCTCTATTCAGATGCTAAAACGTACTTCTAGAAGATTCAGAACACTACAAAATATAATCAAGACATATTTTATCATGGATTATTATTATAGGTTAAGATAAAAGCATTATTGATCCCATGGTGAATTTCATAAGCTACCCAGCAGTATATAATGTCATTTAAATTAGCTCCTCCTTTACCAGCTGCAACATTAAGGTGATAATCACATCAATAATTATAATACAATAATATATATATTATTCTGTTATTGTTATATTTACCACTGTAACCACCACATGAATGCAAATAATGTTTTTGTAATTGAAAGAAGCAAGAAACACGTATTTGTACTCAACAAATAAAGTAGTTACCGTGAAGGTGAGGTTGGAAGTACTCTCCTTCCTTTTGGTGAAAGGCTCCAGAAACCGCAGCCTGGTCAGGACCCACTGCTGTCGGCTGGTCATTGGCGTACCACGACTACCCGAAGAGGCAAGTCTCCGGTACCGGGTGTACTGGGTTCGCAGAGAATCCCATTTCTTCCGCAGCTCTTTCTCTGAAGCACACAAATAAAGGATGTAAGCATGGTGGCTCAAATCATATCTATATGCAGCGCCAAACAAACAACAGCTACCAACAAGATAACAACAAAACACAAGGTTGAAATAACAAATTACATTTCACGTACGCTGGCAAACAATAAAAAACCAACAGTTTCTGCTCAAGAGCTCAATTGATGAAAAAAGATAATCTTACCTGAGAAACCAAGTTGCGATTCTATCTCTCGCCAGAGTCCCGTTTTCACGATTCTGTTGGAGTACTTAGCCTCTGTAATATCGTACAGAGCTGGCCTCTCCTGGGTCAAAGTGACGAACAGGTCTTCGATTGCTTCATTCCAGATCGCCATGATGATCAATACACCGATGAGATGAAAATGAATAGCCATCTGTGTGTGTGTACCTTCTTCAATCATTTGTTTACGTCCCTCACTTCCGTTTCGCTTCTCATTCGCTAGCTGAACAGCCAATCAGAGTGCTTTCTTGGCCCGATAGCTTGTGGTCGACACCCGGCCGATTCAACATGTTGAATCGGCCGGGTGTCGATCGTGAAAGGCCAAATAAGGCGTGTCACGGCCGAGGGTTCGGGACACACCAAATTGACAAGGAACCCGTTTTCGCCCAACACGGCAATACGGCCGATATCGGCCTGGTGTGTAGGGGCCCTAACTCCTCTCTCTCCTAAAGCTCCAAACATGTATTTGATGAACCCCCTGCAGGTGGTAGTGTTTGTACCTCCTTATAGTGTCAATACTGTATAATAATAAACCCTTTCTCCCCCCCCCCCAGGCTCTCTGAGTGACGACCCCCTCTTCCCCAAAGCTCCCTGGCCGAGCGCCTCCCTCTGCGCCTCCTGCCACGAGGAGAAACTCGGCGTCCATCAGTGGAACCAGAACAACGTGCTCCTCTTCCTCAGGACACACTACGGGGCCTCCAACATCTCCCCCAAGTACTCCCTCAAGGAGGAGGGGGGGGAGGGGAAGAAGGAGGGGGGGGAGGGGAAGAAGGAGGGGAAGCAGGGGGGGGAGGGGAAGGAGGAGGAGAAGGGGGAGGAGGAGGTGGAGAAGGAGAAGGAGGAGGAGGAGAAGAAGGAGGGGAAGGAGGAGGAGAAGGAGGGGAAGAAGGTGGAGAAGGAGGAGAAGGTGGAGAAGGAGGAGCATATTTCTCAGTGGGGGGGGAGTGGGGGGGGCTCAGTTTGGATCCTGGGGTTCAACAGCGTGGACATGAGTCTCTGCGTGGGGCTCTACGTCTGCTCCTGCCTCTTCCTCATGATGCTCTTCTTCTTCTTCAGAGTGAGATCCCGCCGCTGGAAACGACACCTGCTGGTGTGAGGAGGAGGAGGGGGGAGGAAGAGGAGGAGGGGGGAGGAGGAGGGGGGAAGAAGCATTCACATCGGACGCAAAGAAAAGACTCGCATCGCACACCTGGACCTGTTAGACCACGAGTCGACATCATTGGTCGTTACTCGTGTCACTCAAAATGAGATGTGCTGCAGAGGAGGCGGGGCTTGTCTCTGTGTAGATACAAACAACAGCATATTTGACGGTGATCAGAAAGATGCTGAGTGACCGATCAGTGCCGAGTCTGTCCACCAGATGGCAGATGAGCTCTCCTGAACATTCACACTCTTTACTCTCTAAATATTTACACACATTTTACTGATGTTTTTATCCCTCAAGTTATTCAGACTGCCCTAAAACATTACATGTGTTTTATAAAGTGTGTGTGTGTCTGAGACTGTGTGTGTGTGTGTCTGAGACTGTGTGTGTGTGTGTGTGTGTCTGAGACTGTGTGTGTGTGTGTGTGTGTGTGTGTGTGTGTGTGTCTGAGACTGTGTGTGGCTTGTATGTGGGAGACCGTGTGTGTGTTTGAGACTGTGAGACTGTTTGTCTGTGAGTGTGTGTCGCTTGTATGTGGGAATGTGTGTGTGTGTGTTGCTGAATAACTGAACGTTTACATTTGCACATATATTTATAGTGGTGAGTAAAGCACAGATGAGTTCACGCTAACCCTCTTCATCACAGAGACACACTTTGATTATAGCTTTAACCAAAGCCACAGTCACCACGAAAGGGAAGTTAAATAAAACAATTACATTCTTAATAAATGCAAACGCTGAAAAGCCTGCATGAAACCATAGAGATGTTTAATTAAGTTTACAGTTATTAGATTTTCCTTTTTTTATAATTGACTTTTTCAGAAGAAGCATTTCTTATTAAAACGTTAGATATTATTTGAGTTCTCAACATATGGATAGTGGTTGATATGTTGGGCCTGCCTCTGTTTGTAATCCATCTCATTGTGTCCCCTCTGAATGAGCGAGTCCCCTCTGGTGTCAGCATTAGAGACTGATGGTGAAATGATGTCCATGTGATGCTCTGCTGACGCCTGAACGCACCGTCCTCTGGCTGCTCGGATCCTTCAGATGAGATGTAAATAAATCATTTTCAGCTAAATGATGTTTCCTGTCGCTCCGTATGAGGGGCCGTGTAGGCCACAACTCAAACTAACCTCGCACACACACTACTCAAAACATCTGGCCTTGCACACACACTACTGAAATACTCTCACATTCACTACTGAACACCTCACACACACACTACTGAAATACTCTCACATTCACTACTGAACACCTCACACACACACTACTGAAATACACTCGCATTCACTACTGAAAACATCTGGCCTCGCACACACTACTGAACACCTCACACACACTACTGAAAACATCTGGCCTTGCACACACACTACTGAAAACATCTGGCCTTGCACACGCACTACTGAAAACATCTGGCCTTGCACACGCACTACTGAAAACATCTGGCCTTGCACACACACTACTGAAAACATCTGGCCTTGCACACACATTACTGAAATACTCTCACATTCGTTACTGAACACCTCATACACACACAACTGAAAATGAACCCCACACACACACACTACTGAACACCTCACACACACACTACTGAAATACACTCACATTCACTACTGAAAACATCTGGCCTTGCACACACACTACTGAAATACTCTCACATTCGCTACTGAACACCACACACACACACTACTGAACACCTCACACACACACTACTGAAATACACTCACATTCACTACTGAAAACATCTGGCCTTGCACACACACTACTGAAATACTCTCACATTCACTACTGAACACCACACACACAACTGAAAATTAACCTCACACACACACTACTGAAAACATTTGACTGAAAGGTTCTCAGTAGGGAATGTGCATGTGTTTCACCTATGCGTGTGAGAGGGGGATTCTTGCTGTAACGGAAGTCATTGTAATGAAACAGAAGTCACAAACAGCAATGCTGCAGTGATACAGTAGGTGGCGATAATTATCGTCTACTCTGTTTGGAAGTCGCCGTTAAAGAAGAAGAATGAAACAGAAGGTCCAATTCAGCATGGATTCATAGAGAAACAGCACCGCAGCTGGAGCCTGGACCGAGCGGTCTACAAACTGAGACGGTCTGGTCTATGGAGGTGTTCTTGTTTCACCTGGCGCAGCTCGTGAGGTGGCCTAGCAACCCGCTAGCAACATGCACAGCTGCAATAATCTAACAAGCTAACTAAACCGAAATTGAGCCAGAACCTTTCCTTTTTTGTTTTGCCATTTATTGAAGTGATTGATATTTCAGGCTGAGAGGACAATGGCCAGTTAAATATGGTTGATTAAGCTGCGTACTTCTAGCCAACAGTTATGTAAATATAGGAGTAACCGATGTACTCCAGCCTGATCCACATAAGGCTAACCTACGTCTGTTGCTCCCGGTCTGCACATTTTACGTTGCTTAAGGTAAGTGAACGTGAAACTATTCAGCAAAACTTTCAACAATAATTATAAGGTATTGAGTTAACCTGTTAAGCCCTGAGCCTGTTTTTCAGGTCTCAGGCTCGAAAATGACATTGCCAGAACAAATGACCATATCTTCCCTTCTAAAAGGGTTAAATTAATAATCTTTGTTCTCAAAGTAATAATAAACCTGTGAGTTGGATGTAGAAAAGTCAGAATCAATATAGATGTTTTTTAGTTTAAAGAAAATTCAGATTGAACATAGTAAAAAACTGTAAATTATAGTGTCCGTCCAAAAATTATTTTTTACTTATAGTGAAAACCACCCTTGGATGATGGGTTAGTAGACTAAAAGCTTTAGGAATCCAAAGTACAGCATATAATAAGTACCCTGTATCAAGATTGATGCAAAACAAGTGACATTTGACCTTTTTAGAGAGATTTAGCAAAAAGAAACCACTTCTGGGGTCATTTGGGTGGATTTTCCATATCTCTGGCCCCACTTGGTTGATTTTGACGAATGAAATCTCTTTCTGACCGTTAGAGCCAATAGAATTGAAGGGGAATTTCCCCACACACACACGGTAAAAAAAAAAGGTGGGGGCTTCGCGCATGCAGTTTTGCATCAGAGCGAACCTATCTCTCGCTCTGACATCTGGAAACGGAAAAGCAGTTTTAATGCTTATGGATTATCAGAGATCATTTCAAAGGGACACAGACACATTAGATTAATCTATGGATTAACTTCAGCAGCGTTTTTATCGTTTTAATGCCATTGAAGACCACTTTGGACCAGACTACGACACAGGTAAACCATGTTAGCATTTTTAGCTACCTAGCGCCACATGTTTTGATGTCTGTTTTTGTTTATAAAGTCGTGAGTTCGTATCAAAGAGTGATAATGAGGGTACCCATCGATTCTGTGTCATCTCACGATCAGATCGATGTGTTGGATGTGCAGAAAAGATAAATAATAAGGTTTTGTGAGTGAGTTTCGGTGCAGTAATCTGTTAGCATTTTTCGCTCGTTGCTAATTCAGAGGCTCAGTGTTAGCATTGTGTTATAAAAAAAAAAAAAAAAAAAAAATGATCAGTTAGATGAGTTTCTTCCCATTACATGGATATAAAACATTCATAGTTTATTAAATGAACATGCCCTCAGACACTGTTTCCTGCAAGATGTTGCGGGAGGGCCCCGGTACCGGGGTCTCTCGGGCTTAACAGGTTAAGGATAATACTTGCATACAAATCTATAAATGCCTTCAGGTTTAGTTACCTGTGATGGTAGCTAGTTAGTGCTCTTACCTGTGATGGTAGCTAGTTAGTGCTCTTACCTGTAATGGTAGCTAGTTAGTGCTCTTACATGTGATGGTAGCTAGTTAGTGCTCTTACCTGTAATGGTAGCTAGTTAGTGCTCTTACATGTGATGGTAGCTAGTTAGTGCTCTTACCTGTGATGGTAGCTAGTTAGTGCTCTTACCTGTGATGGTAGCTAGTTAGTGCTCTTACCTGTAATGGTAGCTAGTTAGTGCTCTTACATGTGATGGTAGCTAGTTAGTGCTCTTACCTGTAATGGTAGCTAGTTAGTGCTCTTACCTGTAATGGTAGCTAGTTAGTGCTCTTACATGTGATGGTAGCTAGTTAGTGCTCTTACCTGTAATGGTAGCTAGTTAGTGCTCTTACATGTGATGGTAGCTAGTTAGTGCTCTTACCTGTGATGGTAGCTAGTTAGTGCTCTTACCTGTGATGGTAGCTAGTTAGTGCTCTTACCTGTAATGGTAGCTAGTTAGTGCTCTTACATGTGATGGTAGCTAGTTAGTGCTCTTACCTGTAATGGTAGCTAGTTAGTGCTCTTACCTGTAATGGTAGCTAGTTAGTGCTCTTACCTGTGATGGTAGCTAGTTAGTGCTCTTACCTGTAATGGTAGCTAGTTAGTGCTCTTACCTGTGATGGTAGCTAGTTAGTGCTCTTACATGTGATGGTAGCTAGTTAGTGCTCTTACCTGTAATGGTAGCTAGTTAGTGCTCTTACCTGTGATGGTAGCTAGTTAGTGCTCTTACCTGTGATGGTAGCTAGTTAGTGCTCTTACCTGTGATGGTAGCTAGTTAGTGCTCTTACCTGTGATGGTAGCTAGTTTGTGCATCAACATGTGTCCTGTTGGAGCAGAACACCTATGGTGGTGGCTGATAGCCCCCCCCCTCCGCTACGCGCCGTTCGTTAGATGAGGCTGATCTCTATTTAATAAAGAAAGGAATTGAAAACACCGGAATCAAAAGTTATAACAATTATTTGAATTTACTGGTAGGAAACAAAACACGTATACAAGTTTTACAGAGTACTCCGGACTTCAGGTTTGTGATGCGATGCGGATACAGGTATCGGGACCAACCACTCAGCAAACAAGAAGCATGGACTTCAGGTTTGTGATGCGATGCGGACACAGGTATCGGGACCAACCACTCATCAAACAAGAAAGCATTTTACATACAAAAACAACAGTATTCATATTCATATTTTGGGGCGGAGATGTGTTTACTTCTTCCTTCCCATTTTACTCCAAAGCGAATTAGAGAGTCCGTGGGGAGGAGCTGTGTGAGCTGCTCACTCCCCCAGGTGTTTTTACTGGTTGGATTCACTTCTGGTCGGGTTCAATACAGCGAATCAGAGTTCTGACCAGAACGTGAGATTCTGAAGTTCCACAAGGGCAGAGTCAATCTTATCTCTGCACCGATATTTACTCCCTTACTTTCCCATGGGATCTTTCACATAAACTATTCCTTCTCAGACAATTAAACATTGTACACAAATATAATGAATGCCCAGAAAGAACCTTGAAAAGAATATGTGTGTGTGTGCTTAGTGAAGGAGGTGTATGTGTGTGTAACAGGATCTCTGGGTCAGTGAGTTGTATGTGAGAATATAATATCTATATATGTGATTACTTAAAACAGTTCAAACAATACATGTTCACTAAAATACAATTCAAAATAATACATGTTTACTTCAATACAGTTTAGAATCATATCTGTTTACTTCAGTCCCCTCTTCATGTCTCTTCTACATCAACATGTGTCCCCTCTTCTTAATGTCTCTTCAACATCAACATGTGTCCCCTCTTCTTCATGTCTCTTCTTCATCAACATGTGTCCCCTCTTCTTCATGTCTCTTCTACATCAACATGTGTCCCCTCTTCTTCATGTCTCTTCTACATCAACATGTGTCCCCTCTTCTTAATGTCTCTTCTACATCAACATGTGTCCCCTCTTCTTCATGTCTCTTCTACATCAACATGTGTCCCCTCTTCTTCATGTCTCTTCTTCATCAACATGTGTCCCCTCTTCTTCATGTCTTTTCTACATCAACACGTGTCCCCTCTTCTTCCTGTCTCTTCTACATCAACACGTGTCCCCTCTTCTTCATGTCTCTTCTTCATCAACATGTGTCCCCTCTTCTTCATGTCTCTTCTACATCACCATGTGTCCCCTCTTCTTCATGTCTCTTCTACATCAACATGTGTCCCCTCTTCTTCATGTCTTTTCTACATCAACATGTGTCCCCTCTTCTTCATGTCTCTTCTACATCAACATGTGTCCCCTCTTCTTCATGTCTCTTCTACATCAACATGTGTCCCCTCTTCTT